AAGGCAACAAATGGAACAAGGAAAACATTCAGAGAGCGTATTGTAGTGCACCCACGGGTTTGCTCTTTATTTCTTTAGAAAGCACTTGAACTTGGAATTTTCCTTGGGCTGCCCATTGAATCTGCAGGGTACCCTTTTTTTGTTGGAGCTATTGTCACAGGATTGCAAAATCATATTTGTTTTATAATCTGCATTTCTTATCCCCTATAGTGTAATGTTTCTATGTAACTGCTTGGATGTAACTGTTTATTTTCCCATTGTTAAAGGGCCACCTTAACAAAATTACAAATGGAACCATGTTGCTTTACTTTGCTCCAGTGGTATGTAGCCATGCATACAGTTATAGTTTCATTTGTCCAGGCCTAGAAATAAGCTTCTCAGAGATTTGAGCGTTCACCTCAGTACAATGGAGGTAAAAGGAACTGTGCTTGTGATTGTCACAGCATTGGAAAATGGCATATAGAAATTCATCGGCCGGGGCGTTGGTAGCGTAGTGGATAGTGCCGGCGCCCCATATACAGAGGCGATGCCTCGCTGCAGCGGTCGCGGGTTTGACACCAGCTCACAACCATTTGCTGCATGTGATCCCCCCACTCTCTCTCACTCCCCCATTTCACTCTCTCGTCAATTAAAGGCAAAAGCCTGAAAAAAACAATCTTTAAAAGAAAAAAAGAAATTCATTGGCAACATGTCCACAAAAAAATAAACAAACAAACACACACACAGAAACAAAAAATCTAATTGGTGGATGTACATCATGTCAAAGCTGTCTTGTCATGTGCTAATGTTCAGAAAAAAATGTGGGCTTTGGTGTTTTTAAAATAAGTAATACATCAATACAACATGCATATGATTGCGTGCTCAACTTTTGTCTGCCAGAGATGAACTCTACTTGCCTAGCAAACAAAAAGTGTTGAGAAGTGTTATGCAGAACTAGCTTTCTTCTGAAGGAGCAGGTCATCAGGCCTTTAAGAAGCCCTTTGACATGCTCTGATTATGTTTGGCTGGAGCTGCATGGGATATGCAAGATGAGATGTGTTGCTTTGGATCATCCTTGTGTGTGTGTGTGTGTGTGTGTGTGTGTGTGTATGTGTGTGTATGTGTGTGTGTGCGCGCGCACATGCGTGCGTGCTGAACCAGTGTGTGAAGCCTGTTGATTGGCCTTGATTAACAGACTGCCAGGCACTAGAAGCAGAGCTGGAGCATTTGCAGTAGAGCATCTTGAGCTGGTTATTTCCAAACATTCCACATGAGGCTGGTTTTTTATATATATATGTGT